TGCGGTGTCGGGAATGCGTCGGAGTTGTGAGGGATGTGCAGGAGAAAGAGCAACTTGTGGATGATTGGAAAACGCACAAACAAAGCTATTGTGCTTTTGCGTTTCTGTTTTTTACAGGGTTAACCAAAAAAGTTTGCAAACCGATTCATAGTCAATCATCCTCAGAAGATATTTCATTACAATAAGGTACTGTAAAAATATTCTAATCCGACCACACAAAAAAATCATTTAAACAAAGTTTTGCATCATGTCTATATAGAACCATATCGAGGCTATATTTTTAACGTACCTAGAAAACTTGTGGTTCCGTGTACAGGTTTACACGTAAAAATGTAACGTGCCATTTTTAGATTATAAACACGGAAATCGTAAGAATTTTACGGTATCAGAGACGGGTCAGTTTCGTTATTTTTGAAAATATTATTTTATTTGTGGTCCACCCAAATTTTAACGCTTTTCTTGAATTTCATGTGTATAAACTTTGAACTAATAAATTTACTCGATAAATTTCAAAACATAAATAGCTTTCTAGGTTTATGTTGGTCATTTTCCGTGCGTCTATAGAAGTGCTAAAATATGTTTCGTTTTCAACTGTGCAGAGAAAATCATACAATTTTGCGTAACTTGCGCTTAAGGGACAGATCACTTCCTTTTTTCTCATAAATATTCCTCTTAGTTCTGGTTTACCGGAATCGTAATTAAGGCTTAAAAATTATAATTGTATACGAATTGATTTCAAACTCAAAAGCATATTTTAATAACATGCAATAGAACGAATACTTTCTTTGTTTTATGACTTGAAAATTTTTTTTATTGTCGGGAGCTGGTTGCAAATTTTTCCATAGTGAGTAACTGCAGAAAAATCGTAACATTTTGCGAAGTTAAACGCGACATTTCAGCTTCATTATACTGGAAATAATCCCTCTTGTTCCCATGGTCAACCCGAATTGTGGGGTTTCTTTTTTCAAATTTACAATAATCAAGTTTAAACTGACAATCGTATTGTAAAACCTTGCTAGAATGCATGTTTTTATTATTTTTTGAGTAGTGCCGAAAACTGATTGAATGTCTTTCAAGAATAAAACTGTACAGGACTGATGAAATTCTGTATCAAAGACGGATCATTTTCGTTATTTTAGAAAAGTCTGCTCTTTTTCTGGTTCACCCCAATCGTGAAGTACATCAGTTTTACTGTATTCGAATAACTTCCAAATTGAAAATCGTATACTAATAACTTGCTCGAATGCCTCTTTTTAAATTTGTATGAATGTCACGAGTGCGGTTGGAATATATCGAATATGTTTACCTATAGCAACAGATAAATGTTGAAATTTTGCACAATTAAACACATCTAGGGGACGGATCAATTTCATTATTTTGAAAAATTCTGGTCTTCTTTCTGGCTCACCCCATTCGTGAAGTATATCTCAATTGTACTTTACACGAATCAATTTTAAATTGAAAAATCATACACAATGAACTTTCTTAAATATATTTTCACAACATTTTATGAAGGTCATGAGTGCCATAGGAACTGGTCGAATATTTTTCAACTATAACCGCACATAAAAATTGAAATGTTGCTCAATTAAACGCATCACGGGAACGGATCACTTTCATTATTTTAGAAAATTCTGATCTTATTCCTGGTTCACCCCAATCGTCTAGTTTATCTCAATTTAGCTGTACACGAATCAATTTCGAATTGGCCATTGACCTCACATACATTTTCGAAACTTATATGATGGTCACCAGTGCCATATCAGGGACTCCTATAGAGGTCACACAAAACACAAAATACCCAACACACCATGAACACAAAAGATCCAATAACTCACTTCCAACACAGACCTGTTGACCATGAAAAAAAACCTGCAGCAGCAGAAACAGGATTTCCTCTTCCTGCCCAAAAAGTGAACACCACCCGAAAAAAAATTTCACTTTGTCTCCAGCTCTTGCTGTATATACTTCTGTGTTGTGAAATTCCAACCCTGAAAGTGGAAATCATCTTGTTATAACCTGTGCAAAATTACATCAGTTCCTGGAGACTTGGTCTTGGCCACAAACGCCCTATTGTGCATTTCTTTGATTTCATTTGAATTCTTTGTCAAGATATAAGGATCTCTGACATGTTATAAAGGAACTGGTTGAATATTTTTCAACTATAACCACACACAAAGCTTGAAATTTTGCTCAATTAAACGCATCAGTGCTGCAACGGATCAGTTTTATTATTTCAGTTGGAAAATTGCTTGTCTTTCTGGTCCACGCCAATCCTGAAGTTCATCTGAATTTTCTTGTTCAAGAATCAACTTTAGATTGACAATTGTACAATATGAACTTGCTAGAATACATTTTTAAAACTTTTAGCATTTCATACTGATAGAAACAAGCTTAAGATAGATTTACAAGTACAGAAATTCAATGAAGAGACCCTTTCTGAAATCTTAAAGGATCAAGATAAATTGTTGGCTTTATATGATTTCTCATTAAAGATTCTCCTTAATTTGTTCATTCAACTAATCCTCATACAGAAACAAGCTGAAGACCTTGTGCTTTAAATTAATTTTTAAATATATTTTGTTACCAATGTCAGGGAATGAATGGGTGTATGATGCATACATGTCCAATGTCCAGTTGTATTTCATGTTGCATTGTATTTTCTTTTTTGTCAGCAATTTGTGCTTTCCTGCTCTGAAGTGATTATAATGTCATTGANAGCAATTTGTGCTTTCCTGCTCTGAAGTGATTAAAATGTCATTGAGTGGATTTGGGTTGGGTGGGAAGAGGGGGTTTGGTTGTGGAAATCTTGAGTGAACCTTGTGAATGCTGAAAAGCAGCAAATAAAGTGTTATGTTCATTCATTCATTCATGAAACTTTTGTGATGTTCAGAAGTGCCTTATAGGAACTGGTCAAATATTTTTTTTCAACTATAACCGCACACAAACCTTTAAATTTTGCTCAATTGAACGCATCAGTGCTGCGACGGATCAGTTTCATTATTTCGGTGGGAAAATTCGCTCTTCTTTCTGGTCCACCCGGTATATATATACCCATGTGGGTTCAGCACATCCACACAGCCCGGCATCATGGATGCGCATTTGCGAGATGGGTTCGGACAAAACAGAACTGCGTGCCTGGCTCCCGAAGCGGTCTTTTGCTTTGAAGGATGGCCGATCATGTTGCGACGTGCTCGCGTTTGGGAAGAAACCCGGGGGGGGCTTCGGATACACACGTCGTCTCGCAGCTGGTGCTCATTTATTTCCCCAACAGAGGGCTGATCGAAATCTCGTGTAATGACCACCTCACCGACTCAATGACAATGAAGCTCATTTCATTAGATGGCGATGGTAATGTTCCGACCATTGGGACAGTTTATTGATACCATGAACATCGGAAAATGCCTGCCAAAGTTTATCTCGAATATTCCGAAATTAGCGCGGTAATGAACGGCGTACTTATATATATTTGAGGGTTATTGTCAGGGTTGGACGCCACTTCTGATATTTTTTGGGATGATGTCTTTATGAAAAAAAATTCAGGACATATAGCCCATGGCGTTCTGAGGTTCTGGGTTTTTTTTCGAATTAAAAAAAGAATGTTGCAATTTACTGCATATTGATGCTGAAGAACTTTGAAGTTACAGCCAGAGTTCTCCACGCATGTCACAGGGAGCTAAAAGTTTGTCAGTGTAAGGCTAAAAAAGGGGGATTTTTGTTCTATTTTATATTTAAAACGTAGAAAAGATAATGGAAAAAATATATCATCAACATTGGCTTTGTTCAAGTCCAGCGAAGTACAAGTATATGCAAACAAATACAATCGAAGGAAAGCTTCCTCATCTTGAGAGTGTGTAAGCTGAATTTTAATTTTTTTTTAAGGAGCAATTTGAAGTGTTTTTGCTGAAGATACATTCTGGTTGTAAAGGTTTGCTGGCTGGATTAATGTTTGTTCGCAGGTTTAGCGAAGGCTTAAACGTGATATTTTTGATGTCAAATTTTTATCAGCGCAAAGACGACATGAGAGAGGGTTTGGTAAAAACTATCATGTCTCCCTGCTGTCGATAAACGTGACGCCATTTTTTGTGTTTTCTTCTTGCTGAGACATTCGAAAGCCAGGATATCAGTATAAGGTGTTGGGTAAAAATTATCATGCCACCCTGATTTGAACAAAATTTACGTGCCAAATTTTCAAGTTTTCCCCGCTTTTAAAGTGAGTAATTCTGAATCGATCTTTAGTGCTCTTATAGTGGAGTATAAAAACATGCTACCTGCAAGAAAATTTCAGATTACTCGCTTAAGAAACTCTGATAAAAGCTGATTTACTCCAGAAATGTTTTTCTGATGCGGATTTTTTTTTGTGCCGTATTTTTGCTATGAAACTCAATTCGTTGTCTTGTCTTACAATCCACATCTTTTTCAACGATTTAATATTTTGTTTCAATCGAAACTGGATTTTACAAATTCAGAATCAACATTAAAATTTTCAATATACTGTACAGTATTTCTTCAGCTTTTTTTCAACCATTTTTTTATATTGCGTGTCAGTAATTCTATAAATTTTACTGTTAGCCCGAGATTATTTAATGATCTTACGTTTGAAACAAGAAAACGAAAGGTTAGAAGAGTGTACCGGTTCTTTTTGATGGGGTACTTTTTTTAACTGTAAGTTAGTACTTTTTATCCGTCTGGATTGCAGACTTTCTACATTTATATTGGTATTTTGACCTTTCGGGGGTGATGGGAACGGTTCTGGAAGAATTTTGCAACAACATTTCACTGTGTGTACATGCTCCAATATATGCAGGTTGCCTGCGTTCGTCATCGTCGAATAAAATATAAAAAGTTCCCCATTAAAATAAAAAAACACACAATGGGGGTCCTCCTCCGCTTCTGTGAAGACTGTCCTCTTTATCGAGGAAGAAAATTTCCCATTGTCAGACTATGTTGGCAGGGCCTCGAAAGGCGTCTAGAAAGAGTGGCAGACTGGATGAACTGAATGGTTTACCTGCTGTGATTCGTCTTTCAGCGCAGTCGGGGACCCGTTTCCAGAGTGAGAGAAAACGATGGGGATTTCCGGCCTGGGTCTGGCCTTGCTGACACTGGCTTCCCACCAGGTGCTGACGTCGCTCGGGGCCCCAGCTGCTGCTGGTGAGTCTCGATTTCTCTTCCTTTTTTTATTATTTATTTATGCTGCTGCTGCCCGCCCTTCTGCCAATGTCACCATTGTGGTCTGGAGATAATATTGAGTGGAGAGAAATTTAAAAATTAAAAAAAGAAGAAACATATGAGAGGATCCGCGGCGGGAGGACGAAGAGCGAAGTCTGCCAGAAACGAAATCTCGTGGTTTTCTATGTGATTTTTTTTCAACAGCCCTGCTGCTGCTACAGCTCGATTGAATATGACATCTCTAAAAAAAATTTTGTATGAAATGAAACCGTAGTTCTTCTTATTTCCGCATAATTATCAGCATGATTATTGCACAATCAGCATAATTATTGCAAAGGCGGAAGCACGCAAATACTTTCGGTGGACTTTCTCTCTCTCTCTCTCTCTCTCTCTCTCTCTTTCACTCCCTCTGTGCAACGATCTTGTCTACAACTATTTTCTCCACATAACAAATTTTTGTTGTTCAGGTAGTGTTCAGTCCAACGAAATTCTGTCCGCAACGAATTATTTTCTGATCCCTTTAGTTTCATTCTATAGAGAGAGAGAGGGAGAGAGAGAGAGAGAGAAAGGGTCCAGCACTGGCTATTTATTCAAATTCTTATTTCTTTTTGAAGAATTATTTTTTGTACTCATCATCTTTTAAAGCTAATCTGAACACACAGAAATCCGATTGATAAGCACTGCATAAAACTTAATCATTTTCTAATTGTAACATTTATTGCTGTGACTGGAAAAGAAGAAAATAGGGTCTAATTCTGAAATGGAGAAACAGGAGAAAATGATTCACGTTTCTCCACATAAAACAACAACTGCTCTGATTGAAAAAGAAACGAAGTCAAATGCAGAATATGAATGCAGGATCGAAAAAAGTGATTTCAACTGCGAAATGGAATTTTAAACTTTTGAAAACAATATCAAAATGGTGGAAAAACCTAATACACTGTATATCAAAAGCATGAAGTGATTGAGAAAAAAAAAGTAATGCTATGGTTTACGCAATATAGTCTATATTCAAATTTCTCCCTGCTGCTATTTTTTGAACGCTGAAAATATCCTGATGAACTTTTCAATTTTATGCTTGACTTCCTCTCGGGAAGATACAGATACTTTTTCATACTCGTATGTTGCCGATATCCGTATAACATAACCGAATTCAACCAATAAAATCATACTGGTGAAAAGCAATCCGATGACAAAAAAAATTGCCGATATCCGTATAACATAACCGATGATAAAAAAAAGTGAAATTGAAATGAGTTTCGAAACCGGCCATCGTATGCCTTTCAAGACAATTAAATAGTGCACTTTTCTATACCATGCCGAAAAAAAGTAGCTTTATTTACGCAGAAGGGACAGGTTTACACAATTTTCACTTTTTTCGGCAAAGAGCTTCACAAATACAAGCGTAATTTGCATTTCTGAGTTTAAAATTAATGTCGGAAAACGACCGATGATACTCGTATATATTCTGCCTCAATATGCATAAAAAATAAAATAAAAATGCAGCCGATGAATAATATCAGTTGAAATTATCCGATGGCCATCAGGTATGAAATCCAAATGAGCTTCGGAATCGATCACTCAAGGATTTTCATCAAAATTTAATCCTAGACTTCCCAATGTACAGTAAATTTAAAAAAGAAAGAGGAACTTCAGTCTAAAATATTCCAGTCAGAGGATGGGTCACACTTTGAATAATCCTTTTCATTCGCCATTCAGAAGCCACGACCCCCGGGAAGCAATCCGGAGAGCAAGGACAAGTGGTCAGCGGAGTCGGGGGATCCGCGGCGGGGATCAACGGGGGATCATCCAGTTCCTGGGACAAGGTGTGGTCGCCAAACTTCCAGGACTATTGGGGCGTCTTTCAGCCAGCTTTCGAGAACAACTCGATGAGCAACGTGTCAGTTCACGCCGGGGAAGTCGCTTTTCTTCCGTGTCCCGTGCGTTTCCTGGGCGACAGATCGGTGAGTTTGATTTATTCTGGCATCACTAATTTTTTTTGTGTTGTTACGACAAAAACATTTTTCAAAAATTGGTGTGAATCGGTTATAAACTAAAAAGTAGCAAGAGTGGAGTAAAATGTCACATACAAAAAACCCCGGACGAAAACCCAGCAGGAATAAAATTGGCTGGGGATCCCTTCAGAGAAGATCCCTTCTCTGAAAGCAGCGAACTTCACCTGAGCACAGAGAAATTACGATGTTACATTATTTTTCAACACAATATTTTGTTCGAACGAAGAATTAAAAAAACGCACGAGCTAAATTTTAGAAAATCTCAAGTTTGAGTCAGTCAATTTTTTTAATATTTCTTCCTGAGAGGTTATTCTGACATTTTTCGATGTCAATATTCGACGCGGGACAGTTCTGGTTTTGTAAATTGGCAGAAAATTTAGATTTATGATAACGACAGGAAGAACAGGATAATTTCAGTTTCCAAAATATTTTGAATGCATTATTTTCAGACTTTGCCTTCGATCATCACGTGAAGGAAAAAAAATTCGAATTTCTCGGACTCACCTTGTTTTGAAATGTGTCGTAATTTTAGAAACTGGCGCAATTTAGTTTCAATTCATCTCTGCTCTTATGACGCCCTTCTGCGCTCAATTCAATTATTATTTCCGAGTGCATAATGTGATAATTTTGAAAGATTCAAACCTTCCTGAAGGCAAAAATGGTGAAAATTTGATTCGCTTGTTTTATCAAGAATGTCAGAAATAATATTTGGATACATTCTTCTCGCGATAAAAAAGCGAATTTTTTATCAAGCCCTCCAATTGTCGAAAACGAGAGTACAGTAATCAAACTCTCCAGTCATTGTAGGGACTGAGAAGAAACTCAAATATCAGTTCAACTGTGCAGAATTTTCAGCCTTGTGCCTTCTTGCATATTATTCACAAATGAGCTCATGCACTTGTTACTGGATTGAATTAATGCAACTAGGATAATATAAAGCCACATGGTCAGCTGGCCTCACGTTCATCATTTCTACTTCTGCGGTATTTGTGATACATAATCTTCATTCATCTTGTTCCAGTACAAGTATAGTGACCAGAATACGAATGCTATTCGCCCCCTGAGGGCACAGAAGTTGTACATTCATTTGTCATGATGTTGTCTCAGCATGGCATGTTAGACAATAAATGCACATCATTTGTGATTGATTTTAATTTAACCCCATGTCTAATTGGAAATAAACTCTGGAAGATCTGGAAGGTTTTTCCACGTTGAGCTTCACTGCTGTAAATGATGATTCTAATAAATGTCATCAGTTTCCAACATAAACCCCCTTATAAAAGACAAGTTCAATTTACAGATAATTTATAAGGTTTCGTCCAACGATAGTCGGCAAAAATGTTCATTAAACTAGACGAGATGGAAAGAACTGAATTTATGTTCATTGAAAATTTTGAATTGCTCATCTTGATTGTCTTTCATTTAATATTTTACCAATCGCGCATATTTACTTTTGCAACGGCCCTTTTTTCGAAGTCGGAAAAGCATTCCATTCAAATAAATCAATATTTTAAATCCATGAATAAGCCTTGAAAGCGGGGATTTTTTTTTAAGAAATGGCAGCGCCATCGAATTTTGGTAATATTTTGAATTTAAGCGGAATATTATTATTTTTTCACTGTTTTCAATCCAAAAGCCATAACATTGTGAAATCCTGGACCCTATCACATAGCATTGATCAGAATTGAAAAGCACGCTTTCATCTGACTAGGGTCATTTCAATAATTTTTCAACACCAATGTTTTAAACAGAACCGTCTGATTTTTTGCACTCATTATATGGTGCGCTGAGAAACGCAGTCCTGGGCAAGCTCTGTTATTCGTTTCGCCTTCCTGCTGATTTGATGCAAATCGTAGTATTCTGCACACACAGAATTGCAAAGTATTCTGCGGAAGACGCAGAGAAAATTTCAAATCGCATTTCTTCCCATCAGCTATAGCTGATGCGCATATATGCTACTCTCAAGATAGGACCGTTTATTCTGTGTTTCAGGCCGAAATTTCCATACGGTCCTGATCTCGAAATTCCCGCCTTTTTTTCGTAGAGGAAAATGCAAAAACAAGAAACAAAAACAGAGTTGGATAGATAGTGGTTCACTCTCCGAAAATCCATCTCCTTATTGTGTCAGAATAATAATGAGCACTCTGAAGCCATCAAACTGACGGAAATGAAGTCACGTGTCATTCGTGTAGGCGAGGAACTTCTTTTTTGAAGCAATATCTGAACAAAAAAAAAGGGGGTATAGACCTCAGTTCGACCACACACAAGAACCCATCATCAGGTAGCAAGCACTCCACGGAAATTACGAAAAATGTTTCTCCCCCGTATTTTTCAAAGTTTCGAAATTTTGTAAAAACTTTGCGAAACGATAATCCGGATGAAAGCATTTCGATTAAACACGGGATTCACGTCTCTCATTTAAATAAATATAATTTTCTTACAACTGCTGTCGACTTTCGAATATGGCTTTAAAAAACAAATTCTTCCAGGAAATCGTATACCGTATTTGTGAAACCATGCCTTTCTTATTGGGATTCCACTTACTGTGCTTATTCAAATTTCTTGTATACATAAGAGGTTCTCCGAAGCGGGTTTTTTTCGGCTCAGCTTCATTTTCTCGAACGTGGGCGAACCCAATTAACAGGCGGTAAAGTTGCCTTGCGAACTCACAGAACCGTGAGCAGTTGCTTTTGCTCTTTTGCATCCCCCTGGAAAAAGTTGAAATATGTTTATATTTTTAGAGAAAAAAACTTGAAAACAGTACAACAATACAAGAGGGGGAAATTAATTTTCAAAGTGTGTTATATATATATAATGACTCACGAAGCAGCAGCTGCAGACAATTCACGGGTCAAACACAACTTCGCAAATTTGTACATGACGACAAGTACAGGTCATAGTTCAGGTCACTGGCATTTCCCTTGTTCCAAGATAATTAGGTAGTCCTATATTGAATTAGGGGTCAGCAAATAAATGTACGGAAAGAGAATTTGAGAAAACATTTGTAGTAGTTCAATGAAATAAAAGGGAGAAATTGTTCTGCAGGTCTATTTAAAAAACCGTCGAAAAAATAGCGAAATACTTTTTGCGGATCAGGAACGATTTCGCAAATTTGACATGATGATGAGTACTCAATACGTCACTCAAATTTTCTCAGTGCCATTATAATGATATACTTAATTCAATCAGTAAAACTTAAAAACACTAAACGAAGAAATGGGTGGTCAGCAAATAAACACATGCCCAGATAATGGCGATTTCCTTACGCCAAATATTCTGCGCTGAATTCAAGACACGAAGCAAAGATTATTTGAAAAATGTCTCATCTCTCTTCTTAAACGTAACACTCTGTGAATTTTGTGTCCAATGTACCATCCTGAGCGTCTATTTCAGACACATGATCCACAAATGAAAATGAAATCTATTCTGCTCAAATCTACTAAATTGCCTGAAATCCACCAAAGACCTGTGGAGGAACTTGACGAATCCGATTCAGAAACTCCGAAGATAATTCACCTGCTCTGCAGATCCTTACTTCTAGAGGAAGGTCGGCAGTTACTTTGGAAAGGTGGCATTTGCAGAAAATAGCAAAATCAAATAGTCCTAGAAATAAGTCCTTTAATCTCAAGATTCAAAAGTTTTGTGGTGGTGGTGGTGGTGGGTGTCAAAAAGTTTTGGGGTCGGTCTAGAACCTAGACAACTCTTGAATGCATTTTGAATATGTAAATACAACTTTCGAAAACTTTTGAGAACGTAAATCCTGCCTTCACTCGGAAATTTTCCAAAATAGTATATTAATATGAGCCTTCCAATATCACGACTTTGGGTTCTTCTCAATTCTTCATCAAACATATATTCATTCATGAATGAATGAACAGAATACTTTATTTGCTGCTTTTCAGCGTTCACAAGGTTCAATACAGATTTCCACAACCAAACCCCCTTCCCACCCCACCCAAATCCACTCAATGACATTCAATCACTTTTTCAGCGTTCACAAGGTTCAATACAGATTTCCACAACCAAACCCCCTTCCCACCCAACCCAAATCCACTCAATGACATTCAATCACTTCAGAGCAGGAAACAGAGCACAATTTGATAACAAAATAAAAGAAAACACAATCCATGAAATACAACTGGACTTCTGACATGGATGCATACACCCATTCATTCCCTGACATTGGAAACAATATATATGCAAAAATTAATTTAAAGCACAAGGTCTTCAGCTTGTTTCTTTATGAGGTTTAGTTGAATGAACAAATTACAGGGAATCTTTGATGAGAAATCATATAAGGCCAACAGTTTATCTTGATCATTCATTTAATTAAAAACCCCCTCATCTTTTCTCAAAAGACAGGATGTCTTGCCGTTTTTTGGGGACTAAGTTTTCCTTTTTAAACATTGATACAGCTTCATCAATTTAAAGTCGACCCAAAAATTACATCATTTCGATACTCAACAATAACGGGATTCACGCTTCTCAGCTAAAAAAAAATTGACTTTCTTTTTACAGTCGGGTTTCGAATATGGTTTCAGAAAAAATTCATTGCACTTTGAATTCTTCCAAACACCAAATCGTAATTTTTCTCGCAAAATTGATCTTTTATACTCCTGTATGCGCTCTCAATTTTGGATGCATTTTTTAAAGGAAGTAGGGCCGTTTTTCAGTACTTATGGTGACACGTATTTCCAAAAAGATCTGAAACTCGTAAAGCGTCTCCCTTGAATAAAAAGATGTCCACATATTCAACTCGTACTTTCCCGAAAGTTTCTTACGTCCAAAATCGCGCTCGATAAAATCGGCAAGTTTCGAACTTCCCCTTATGAAACGATGGTAACCTCAAGGACAGATCCCAGACACCAGTACTTATTCTCATTACACCACCAAAAAAGTATATATGTACTGTATATATATATATATATATATATATATATATGCAAATTTGACATGATGATGAGTACTCAATACGTCACTCAAATTTTCTCAGTGCCATTATAATGATATACTTAATTCAATCAGTAAAACTTAAAAACACTAAACGAAGAAATGGGTGGTCAGCAAATTAACACATGCCCAGATAATGGCGATTTCCTTACGCCAAATATTCTGCGCTGAATTCAAGACACGAAGCAAAGATTATTTGAAAAATGTCTCATCTCTCTTTTTAAACGTAACACTCTGTGAATTTTGTGTCCAATGTACCAAAAAAAATCAGCATAAAACTTCGTAAGCGTCTATTTTAGACACATGATCCACAAATGAAAATGAAATGTATTTTCTCAAATCTACTAAATTGCCTGAAATCCACCAAAGACCTGTGGAGGAACTTGACGAATCCGATTCAGAAACTCCGAAGATAATTCACCTGCTCAGCAAATCTCTACTTCTAGAGGAAGGTCGGCAGTTACTTTGGAAAGGTGGCATTTGCAGAAAATAGCCAAATCAAATAGTCCTAGAAACAAGTCCT